ACTTTCTTTTTTTTTTTTTTTTGTGTTTGTTTTGAGAGCGGAGTGGGCTCACTTCTGTCGCCCGGAGGCTGGAGTGCGAGAGGCGGATCTCGAGGCTCACTGCAAGCTCCGCCTCCCGGGGGTTTACGCCTTTCCTGCCTAGCTGCCGGAGGTGGCTGGGTGATAAAGGCGGCCCGCCACGCTCGCTGGCTAGTTGTTTTTAATTTTTTGTAGCAGAGCAGGGGTGTTCTCTGTGGTTGTCAGGATGTCTCGATCTCCTGAGCCTAGTGATCCGCCGTCTCGGCTCAAGTGCTGGGATTACAGGCTTGAGCACCGCCACCCGGCCGCGGGCAGGTTACTTTCAACTCTAGATTGCACAGCTGTTCCATCACGTCGTTGTGTAGGTTAGGAGTGGCTACTAGCAGCTGCTCATTTCTTTTGTTTGTTTTTCTCCTGTCCAGTGATACAAGAGTCTGGTGTAACTTGCAGGTGCTGTGGTTCTTAGTCCTATTATGTTAATTGCATGGCCTAAGATCCCTTACCTTGGTCTCAGGGGCTGGAGAAGATTTGAGATCCTCGTTCTTGTATTTCCCAGCTTGTAGAGATGAGGAGCGCCACGAGTACAGTCACCCGCCATGTAGCATACATGGTCAAAGTATGATATGAGATGCCCATACGAGCGAAAAAGGTCGGAAGGGGCGGAGCAGTGGGGTTTGAGCTGGGCAAGGGCGCGGAGCAGGGCCGCGAGGGCGTGCTTTATGGCTGTACATAGTGTTAGAGAAAGGCGTGGTGCGGTCTCTTTTGAGTATGATGAGCGTGTGCGCCCGGGGCGGCGTGTGAGTGTGGCTCGAGCCTGTAATCGCAGGACGTGGTTGGGGAGGCCGGAGGGCGGAGTCACGAGGGTCAGGAGATCGGAGAGCCAGGCGCCTGGGCGTGCAAGGGTTGAGAGACCCGTCGGTGCTTAGGATAATGTTGCCAGTAGGGGGAGTATGTGCCGTGGGTCTGGTGTGTGTTGTGGGTGGGGTGTGGTGTGTGGTCGCTGGGTTGGGTGTGTGGGTGTGTTGTGTGGCTCGGTCGGAGGGGCTGATGGCAGCGGAGAATGGCGTAAGCCGGACGGGCCGGCGGGGTGGTGTGGCTGTGTGGCTGCACGTCGAGGCGGCTGGCGGGGTGAGGTGAGAGGCGAGAGCGTCGGTCCTGCCACGCAAGAGAAGCGAAGAAGGCGCGAGAAGGCGGAATGATGGGGGGCTGCGTGTTTCGTCGTCGGTGGTGCGGACGAGCGGGGCGATCCGGTCGGGATTCGCATTAAGGGAGGGCTGGTCCTAGAGGAAGGGTGTGGTGTCATAAGTTGAGGGTTGTTGGTTGATGGTAAGTGATGGGAAACGAGACGCGTTGGAAAGTGGTGGGGCCATGACAGAAGGGTTACGGCATGGAACTGTATGGAGTACCACATATGTGCAGCTGTGTTTAATGATGACAATAAGTGGTTAGTAGATGAGGTATGATAAAGTAAAGTTGTCTCGCGCAATGTTAAAAATAGAATCTTTGTATTACGTCGGTACGACTGTCTTGCTTTTTTTGTAAGAGCGGACTGGGTCTGGTGTTTGTTGGCAGAGGGTGTCGCCGGCTTGGAGTGCAGTGGACAGATTGAAGGCTCGGCTAGCGAGCCTTGGGAAGCTGTACGGATCAGAGCCGGGTCCTCTGCTGGTAGCCTCGCCGATTTAGCTAGGGACGGGAGATAGGGCGTGGGTGGGCTGGAGGCGCCCAGCTAGTGGGTTATTTACAGCGTTTTGAGTTAAGGGGAGTAAGTTGATTGAAGAATAGCAAATGACTGCAATGTTTGGCATTCTGTTTCGTAGGAACCATCTGAAGAGATGGGCACGGTACACAGTGAGGACAGGTATGTATTAAGCACGGTTTCACTTTTTGATCTCCACAGAGGACAATGAGAGAGTCGACACGCCTAGAGGGCGAGAATGAAGCAACTTCAGTCAGCCGCGTGGCCTTCCTCCAGGCAAGAGTGTGTGTGATACCAGGTCATAGGCGACCAAGCCGCCACAAATCTAGGAGAGCCACCAGTAGTGGTTAGCGTACGCGTGGTCCGCATGGAGATGAAAAATTGCCGGTATCTTAGCTGTGGGTTAACGAAAATCGGTTACTTGTATTTTCTGAGTTGTGGGTACTGTTTGGAAATATCGGCGCCTCTATGTGATTTCATGGGGGTTGTGCACCGAGAGGGAGGATCATTCGAATTGGGTATCGTGGCTGTGAAGTGTGTCATTGCAGGGCCTGCGGGCTACGTCATCTTCTGCCTCCCTTTGGAGAGTGGAGTGGTGTGAGCGGTAAGGCGCGCAAAACAAGTGGAACGTGAGGGTTGTGATTCTGTGCAAGGGTGGTGTGGAAAGTATTTGTATATGAAGCAGTGCGTCAGCATTAGCGAGGTTATGGGAGGCGGAGCTTGCAGTAAGCTGAGATCTGGCCACTGCACTCCAGCCTGGGTGACAGAGCGAGACTCCGTCTCAAAAAAAAAGAAAAAAGAGAAATATGAGCTGTCATTTCTCTTCACTAGCATCTCTATTCCCATAAGAACTTCCCTAAGAGAAGATGATTTCATAAATTGAGTTGTTTTAATATAATACATGAAACAGACCTTGAATGTAGGCCATAGCCACAGGAAAGGTTAGAGCATGAAACTCTATGAGATACCACACTATGTGCTGCTTGTTTAATGATACAATAATGTTACTAGATGAAGTAGGATAAAAGTAAAGTTTCTCACAATGTCTGAAAATAAATCATTTATTACTTACACTGTCTTTTTTTTTTTTTAAAGAGATGGGGTCTTGTTCTGTTGCCAGGCTGGAGTGCAGTGGCACAATTATAGCTCACTACAGCCTTGAACTACGGGATTCAAGCAATCCTCCTGCTGTAGCCTCCCGAGTAGCTAGGACCATAGGCGTGTGCTGGGAGGCCCAGCCTATTATTTACACTTTTAGTTAAAGTAACTATTATTAAAATAGCAAATGACTCAATGTTTGGCATTCTGTTGTAGGAAAAATCTGAAGACATGAGAACTACACATGAGGAATATGTCATTTAGCACTTTCACTTTTTGATCTCCACAGAAGACAATGAGAAGTCACACCATAACAATGACGACAACTTCAGTCAGCAGCTGGCCTTACTCCTCCCACAGAATGCGCTTTATAACCAGTCATAGCGACCAACCGCCACAAAACTTCTCAGGAACACCAAATGTTACTACCTGTCCCATGGATGAAAAATTACTATCTACTGTGTTAACAACATCTTACTCTGTTATTTTCATTGTGGGACTGGTTGGGAACATAATCGCCCTCTATGTATTTCTGGGTATTCACCGCAAAAGAAATTCCATTCAAATTTATCTACTTAATGTAGTCATTGCAGACCTCCTACTCATCTTCTGCCTCCCTTTCCGAATAATGTATCACATTAACCAAAACAAGTGGACACTAGGTGTGATTCTGTGCAAGGTTGTGGGAACACTATTTTATATGAACATGTACATTAGCATTATTTTGCTTGGATTCATCAGTTTGGATCGCTATATAAAAATTAATCGGTCTATACAGCAACGGAAGGCAATAACAACCAAACAAAGTATTTATGTCTGTTGTATAGTATGGATGCTTGCTCTTGGTGGATTCCTAACTATGATTATTTTAACACTTAAGAAAGGGGGGCATAATTCCACAATGTGTTTCCATTATAGAGATAAGCATAATGCAAAAGGAGAAGCCATTTTTAACTTCATTCTTGTGGTAATGTTCTGGCTAATTTTCTTACTAATAATCCTTTCATATATTAAGATTGGGAAGAATCTATTGAGGATTTCTAAAAGGAGGTCAAAATTTCCTAATTCTGGTAAATATGCCACTACAGCCCGGAACTCCTTTATTGTACTTATCATTTTTACTATATGTTTTGTTCCCTATCATGCCTTTCGATTCATCTACATTTCTTCACAGCTAAATGTATCGTCTTGCTACTGGAAAGAAATTGTTCACAAAACCAATGAGATCATGCTGGTTCTCTCATCTTTCAATAGTTGCTTAGATCCAGTCATGTATTTCCTGATGTCCAGTAACATTCGCAAAATAATGTGCCAACTTCTTTTTAGACGATTTCAAGGTGAACCAAGTAGGAGTGAAAGCACTTCAGAATTTAAACCAGGATACTCCCTGCATGATACATCTGTGGCAGCAAAAATACAGTCTAGTTCTAAAAGTACTTGAGATAAACATACTAAAATGAATTATATAATACAGCCTCTTAATTCTTTGAAGAACTAAAAAAATTAGGAAACAAAGTTCTAGCATTTACAAAAGTCAGATCTCAAAGTTGTGCTTGTAACTGTGATATTTCATTTGCTTAACTGTAAACCATTTCAAGTTACTATCTTTTAAATCTCTATGTAAAATCTTTTCAAAATACATTTTTAAGCTAATACTCTTAACATAGATTATGAAGTTAGTGAAATTTATGACTTTAACAGCAAAATAATTAAAGTGCCATCGTTTCTCATGTCACTAAAGTAGTTATTAAAATCAAGCACTTGATACTAATTTAAAGTGTGTTTAAAAGTAAATGATTTGGGAACTGACAATGTGTCAGAAAATATATGTTCACTTATCATTTTAAAATCTTGTATAATTTGCCACTGTGTTCATTTATGCCTAAATCTCTATAATAGATGAGAAGATAATTAATAAAATCCTAATTAAAAAATGAGATCACCCACTATCTATCACTGCTTAGATAAAAAGGGAAAGAATTTAAATACTGTACAGTAAAAATTAACAGATAAGCTAACGATTCAAAAGCCTAGCAATAGGTGTTAAAACCACACCTTACTTAAAACAGGTTTATAAACAATAGGGTCATTTCAGACACACTTTGATACAGTAACATTGAACATGCCTATTCTGTGATCCAGCAAGTCATCTACAAGGTATACATCTTACAGAATCACTCAGATATGTACACAAGAAACATGTAATGATGCTCAGTGAACTACCATTCATAATATGAAACAATTGGAAATAAGTACATATCAGCAAAGGCATGGAGAAGTGAACTGGTTTACTCACAAAATGGAATATGATATAGCACTGCAATGAAATGAACTACATTCACATGCATCAACACGAGTATATCTCATATATAATGTTGAGTAAAAAAACCCCGCAAAATTGCAAAAGGGTATGTACTGCATGAAATCATTTACGTAAAATATAAAAACATAAAACAATACCACATTCTTTTTTTTTTTTTTTTTGAGACAGAGTTTTGCTCTTACTGCCCAGGCTGGAGTGCAGTGGCGCGATCTTGGCTCACTACAACATCCACCTCCCAGGTTCAAGCAATTCTCCTGTCTCAGCCCCCTGAGTAGCTGGGACTACAGGTGCCTGCCACCATGCCCGGCTAATTTTTTGTATTTTTAGTAGAGACGGGGTTTCATCATGTTGGCCAGGCTGGTATCGAACTCCTGACCTCAGGGTGATCCACTCGCCTCAGCCTCCCAAAGTGCTGGGATTACCAGCGTGAGCCACCACGCCTGGTAGAAAACAATACCACATTCTTATGGATCAATACATATACAATAAAGATACAAAATATGTATGGTAATATATACAAGATATATACCAACTTAAAGTTAATGGTTATATCTGGAGAAATTTGAAGCAAATATGGCAAAATGTTAATGTCTGAAATCTAGATAGCAGGTACGTGATTATATTATTTTTGGTAAATTCCTGGGTATTTGAAATACTTTACAACAATAAAATCTGTAAATTAGAATTAAAAGGAGCAAACTCTGCAATTTTCATGCACATTAAAAAATAACAGGACAGTAAGCTCTAAAAGAAAGGGGTCTTAGTCTTGTTTGTCATTGCCTCCCTGGAGCTTAGTACATTTCTTGGCTATAGGAGATCAATATACATTTGTTGAATAATTAACAAGAATGAACAGATGAATAAGATAGGGAGAAAGGGAAGGAAGGAGTGCTTACAAGAAAAAAAGTTGGGTGTAATTAGCTTTTATCCTGGTCCATTTGAATATAGCTGTATAGAACACCATACAGTTGCAATCTAGGGGGTGTCATTAGGCAAACATTCTTGAAAGTTTGGCCAACATTTGTCCAGTTCTTTGGTCATACACAGAACCTGAATGTTATTGACTGAATATGTAAAAGCCTCTTAGAACAAACTCCAAGGACTCATCTGAAAGTTTCTATCATGGTGTATAAAAATTTTTTATAGTCAGAATACTTCTTAAAACTGAAGGTAGGCCATTGGCTGAGAAATCAATCTGAATGAGCATGAAGATTTTGATCAGAACTGAGTTTATTTTAATGAGATTTGTCTTGTATACAGTGCTCAGTTAACTATATATAGATATATTTTTTGAGATGGAGTCTCGCTCTGTTGCCTAGGTTGGAGTACAGTGGCATGATCTTAGCTCACTGCAACCTATGCCTCCCAGGTTCAAGTGATTCTCCTGCTTCAGCCTTCTGGGTAGCTAGGATTATAGGCACCCACCACCATGCCTGGCTAAGTTTTGTATTTTTAGTAGGGATGGGGTTTCATCATGTTGGCCAGGCTGGTCTTGAACTCCTGACCTCAGGTGATCCACCCACCTCGGCCTCCCAAAGTGCTGGGATTACAGGCATGAGTCACTGCGCCAGGCCAGTTAACTAATTTCAATAAGTGCCCATAATTAATTGAATAAAGAATAAGTCAAAGCAAAAGTATATTTTAAAAATAAGTAATATTTGAGGATAAATACTGAAATTTGCAGAAAAATTAGAGGGTCAGAAAAAGGTGACAAAATTAATTACTTTGCCCTGACAATGTTAACATATACCATCTAAATGAAATTTAGCATTTCTGTTTGTATGGTTTTAAGTTATGAAAACTTCTACTTTCCTTCATGTCCTCAAATTTAAAATTTTATTTTACATTACTGGTAAACATCTTACATATCTCATTGTATACAGTTTGGTGAAATTATATTATCAATTATTATCACTTTTAAGGAACATTAAAATGAATATAAATACACTCATAGTTCTAGAAGCTGTCTCATTATACTAGATAAGATGATTACTATAAAGCTCTGCACAATGGCATTCTTAAGAAAGTTTTAAAGTATACTCAATTAATTCTTGCTATATTATTTGCAATAAAATACATTTTGATATAAATCAATCTATTTATAACAGATTGCTTGCTGAGAAAAATCTGATAACATGCCTTAGAGTAACTGGAATCCTGAGAAGGTTTCTAAATGTTTAGAAAAAATATGCTACTGACTTACCAAAGTTAAGGCTACTTATGACATACAATCTTCTATTTCTTACTGAGCCATTAGTATTTGCAAGCAGGAAACAGTTCCTACCTCTCCTAACCCAAGGTTTAGTTTTAGAAGCATACAGAAAAAGGAAATTCAGAAGTATATACATATCTTTACCTTGCAAAGACCTTCAGAACAGGTTTCTAAATAACATCTCATACATGCAAAACCAAACACCGGTAAAATGAATTGTCTGGCTGTCAGAGTGAGATCTCAGTGTTGTTATTAGTTAATATTAATATTGCTGTTAGTTTTAGAGCCAGGTTTGATGGTGGTTGAATTTCTAAGATTAGGTCAGTAGAAAAAGACAATTCTCTTCCAGTACAGTTTTATTTTCAACTTTAAAAAATGGATTATTTATTCCTGCTGACATAAAAGTATAGGTAATATAACTATTTGAACAAAAGCCTTACTGAAAGTTATCCCACAAGAGAAAAGCAATATGAAAAGAGTTCTCTCAACAAGCAGCCTGGATGCTGCAGCAACGTGTTAATGGGCTATTTTTTATGTTTTCAAAATATAATACTTTATCAGATATTAAAATATATTCTTATCCTTCAGTAAGGATAACAGTGGGGAGCAGACACAAGGATAAATCTGTGGAACCGAATACACATGTCTAAGCAGATCCTAGATGATATGATGATATATGAGAAAAGTACAAAATGGGTATATGACTTTTTTTTTTTTTGAGACAGGGTCTCACTCTGTCACTCAGGTTGGAGTGTAGTGGTGCAATCTCAGCTCACTGCAATCTCTGCCTCCTGGGTTCAAGCAATTCTCCTGCCTCAGTCTTTGGAGTAGCTGGGATTACAGGTGCGTGCCACCAAGGCTGGCTAATTTTTGTATTTTTAGTAGAGACAGGGTTTTGCCATGTTGGCCAGGCTGGTCTGGAACTCCTGACCTCAGGTAATCCGCCCACCTTTGCCTTCCAAAGTGCTGGGATTACAGGCGTGAGCCAACGTGCCACACTGAGATCGCACCACTGCACTCCAGCCTGGGTGACAGAGTGAGACTCTGTCTCAAAAAAAAAAAAGGTGGGGTTAAGTGTATTTATGCAAAGCTCAGGTGACCCCCATACATTCTCCTCCCTCAGAGAAAATCACTGCAAATAAAGGAAACATCACAAAAAGCATCAGGAAGGAAGGGATGGATTAATAAATAATAGTGCTGTGCCTATTTAAAATAAAAGGCCAATTTACAGCCTTACCTTTTATCATACCCAAAAATTTATAAGCACACCCAAGAATTAAGTGTAAATAATGAGACCATAAAAGATCAAAAAATGACTAACTCATCTGTAGATGGGAAAGAACTTTTAAACAAAATAATAGAAATAACTATAGGGAAAAATTCATAGCTTTGACTTAAAAATTTAGATTCTTTGTCCCAAACCATAAAAACTGAAGCAAAAGTACAAAGTAGGAAAAATATTCACAACAGATACAACATTTACTGGAGAGTCTTTTATTTCAGCCACCAACAAACAAAGTTCCCTTGTAAAGACACTTGTAGGGGTATTTTTAATCGGAAGAAAAGATTTTAAACTCAGAATATAATCTGAATTAAGTAAACTCAGACAAGAGATAAACTATGGGGCATTTCCACGTTGGATGATGTAGTGTCCTCTGTCATAGCTACATGGCCCAGCTGAGTGGCTGCCATAGTGCCTCAGTTCAGTCCACGTTTCCAGATGAAGACTTGGGAGAGCTGGTTGGGGATGGTAACAGTGAGCACAGAACTGGAAAGGAGGTAGTAAGTTTGTTCGAAACTTCTATTTTTCCTTTTATTTCCCCACTTCAAGTTCACATGCAAGGGATTAGGAAGTAAAGTAACATTTGTTTATTTATGCACCCTTCACTGTTCTAGGTGCTTCCCATGCATTATCATTAGTTAATCTCCATGGCATTGTGATGTAAGCATCAACTGTATTTTACATATGTAGGGATGCAAGTTGGTAGACTTCCATTCTACTGACATTGTCTCTGCTAATGCTTTTCACTTTTGTTTAATTCTGTCCAAGCACAATGGTGATTGCTGAGATGTCTTTTATTTTAAAAAATATAAATTGCCATTAATATGTATTGGGGGCAAAAATCTCTGCTTATCACTCATCAAAATTGTGTGATGTCAAAAAAAACCGAAATCTTTGTTGGGTGCGGTGGCTCACGTCTGTAATCCCAGCACTTTGGGAGGCCAACGCGGGCGGATCACGAGGTCAAGAGATCGCCACCATCCTGGCCAGCATGGTGAAACCCCGTCTCTACTAAAAATACAAAAATTAGCTGGGTGTAGTGGCACGCACCTGTAGTCCTAGCTACTGAGAAGGCTGAGGCAGGAGAAGTGCTTGAACCTGGCAGGTGGAGGCTGCAGTGAG